ATCATAAAAGATTATATACAGTGGATGATTTATTAAGTGTATATTACATAGTGCAAGAATCCTGCCTATGACCTTGGTGATCACAGGTAGGTGTAATAACACCATTTTGTCATCCTTAACCCAATACCCCAAAGTACAAACAAAAGCAATTAGTAATAGAATGGTTTTAGAGCAATAATAAAAATTCTAAAGATGACGAGTACCTGGTCATCGGCCGCACATGTCTCCTCAGAAAGGCAAATTAGAAACTCACACTCTGGAAAAGACATTCCCCATGTCTAGGAAAATAATTCCAGAAGTAGGATGTCTGCTGTTCAACTTGGCCTAATTCAATGGATCAGATTATGTCATCTCTTTTCTTGGCCAACAGATGTAGACCTGGTTCTTAAAGCACTCTCTCTAGGAAATCAGGAACTAGTAAGTTTCATAAGATGTATAGATTTCTTTGATTATTCACCTAACTACAACAATAGTTCTCAAACTTTGGCATGCATCCGAATCTCCTGGAGGGCTTGTGCAGACTCCAGATTCCTGGACCTCACTTCGGAAAAAGTAGGTCTGTGCTGAGACCCAACAGTGTACATAGCAAGCAAAACCCAGGTAATACAATGCCATTGATGCACACTTTAATTTAAGAGACACTGAATTAGAAGATGGGAACCATGCCAATTTAAATCTCTATAAAAATAATGAAATGTAGATAATCTTGATAACCATTGGCATAGGATGAGATAGAGAATCTTATTTAACAGAGTGCAGCCTTGGGAGCTAATATTAACAAAAATTTTTTAAATAACTAGATCATATGACTTAACAGATATAGAAGGTTTAGGAAACAGAATTGATGCATTGCTATCAATAAGGTAATATGGCATCAGCTTTGTATGACAACAACTGAAATACCATCAGAATAAGCATGACATCAGTGTGCTGTGTCAAACCGAACACAGTTGGAGGTTTACCATATACCATTTGCTGGTATAAAATGAGTAAATACTACTAAGCCCTGACCCAGAAAATACTTAGTACATGGCACTCCGCAAATATTAAATTTCAAATGCATATTCCAGTTTTAGTATAGGTTATATGAGATCATAAAAGATTATATACAGTGGATGATTTATTAAGTGTATATTACATAGTGCAAGAATCCTGCCTATGACCTTGGTGATCACAGGTAGGTGTAATAACACCATTTTGTCATCCTTAACCCAATACCCCAAAGTACAAACAAAAGCAATTAGTAATAGAATGGTTTTAGAGCAATAATAAAAATTCTAAAGATGACGAGTACCTGGTCATCGGCCGCACATGTCTCCTCAGAAAGGCAAATTAGAAACTCACACTCTGGAAAAGACATTCCCCATGTCTAGGAAAATAATTCCAGAAGTAGGATGTCTGCTGTTCAACTTGGCCTAATTCAATGGATCAGATTATGTCATCTCTTTTCTTGGCCAACAGACAAGAAAATCAAGATTGTAGTTACAGTTTGGTCACTGAGTACTGGTCACTCATTTCAACAGAGAAGAGTTTTCCTCCTTCTGTGCTCATATTGCAGCTTGAGGGGGTAATAGACATGTTTCTTTTCCCTGTCAGTGTTTTGGAGCAAGTGTGAGATACACAAAAATCCAGGCAAATGGAGATCAAAATGACAGTTTCATTTTTAAGAGAGCTATTGGGGATCTTTGCATCATCAATGAATTTCCTATGGCTACAAACTTATCTTCCCAGACAGTGGGAGTGGCTAGACATCTGAAAGTCTCCTTACCCCAACCTTGTTTCCCTATCATAGATGCATAGTACTTTTCTTAAAATGCTGATGAAGGGAATTATTGTACCACTACATCTCTAAATAATTCCTGATACTGACATAATTTTTTAGATGAAAGTAAGATTAAAGCAAAAAAATACATGTAATCAAAGTAGAGGGAGGTGATATTTTATTCATGCAACATGACCCCTGCATGAGATGTGACCTCTACAAGCCTGGTGAGCCTGTTGAATAAATGGTCTCAGTTTCAGTAACTGACTTTTGTCAGAAGTAATAAATAGTAAAAGTTTGCACATTCTCGGTCAGTATGAACTTTCTAAATATCACTCACACAAACTCAAGAGAGGCATCGAATTCCAGGTTAACAAAGAATAATGACTATCCCTGTTAAGCCAGTCGTTTATCTTGGAAGCCTTAAAGATATGAAAAGTTGGAGTTTATGAGAACAAAAGCTGCCTTACCTTGGGCTGCCATATGAAATACCAGGCTGGGTGGCTTAACACAAATGCATTTTCATACAGTTCTGGAGGTTGGAAGGCCAAGACCAGGGTGGCAGTCTGGTCCGGGCTCTGGCGAGAGCTCTGATCCTGGCTCACAGGCAGCTGCCTTCTTATGTGAGTCTCAGGGAGGACAGAGGAAGAGTTCCTCTTACGGAGACACTGATCTCCCCTGAGGCTGCTACTCTTACGACCTCATCTAAATCTAATCGTCTCCCAAAGACTCCATCTCCAAATACTATCACATTACTTCTTGGTAGTTTTTACAACCAATGTCAGAACTGTCAACGAGTCGGATATATGGCCTTGTATAATTTATGACAAGAGGCACTAAAGATCATGTTTTAGAAGTATGTAACTGTCCTCCCCAATACTGATCTCAAAACATAGGAGTCTCTTTCCCAAATGTGGTGATTTCTCATTATTAATAATTCATATCATTTATACCTCCAGCTGAAAACTCTGCTCTGGACTCCAGACACTTACCAGATGGGCTACTCACTATCTCCACTTGGCAGCACAATAGACATCTCAAACTTAACTTATCCAAACGGCTCTTTACCTCTTCTAGTCTCTGGGCTTCTCACACCATCTTCCCCATCTCAGGTAATAAGTTCCATCTTTCTAGTTAAGCCCCCAAATCTTGGTTTCATCTTTAACTCCCCTCACTGTTCTACAGTCCACACTGTGTTAACAAATCTTGTTGACTAGTTTCAAAATGGATTGGGAATATGTCCACCCTAATTTGAACCACCACCACCTCTCCACTATCCAGTTAGGCTTACTGCTATCGCCTCCTAGCTGGTCTTCGCACCTTTGTACTGCCCTTATATCTATTCTCATCTCTGCAGCTAGAAGGATTCTTTTAAAACATGTCAGATCAAGCTACTCTTATTAAAACCCTCTAGTGGCTTAATTCCCCACCTCACTCAGTGCATTAGTTTTCTAGGGCTTCTGTAACAAATTACCATAAACTAGGGGGCTTAAAATGAGGGAAACTTATTGTCTCACAGTTCTAGAGGCTAGAAGTCTGAAATCAAGGTATCAGCAAGGCCATCCTCTCTCTGGAGCCTATAAGAGAGAGGATCATTCCTTGTTTCTTCCTAGTTTTTGGTGGTTACTGGCAATTATTAGTTTTCCTTGGCTTGTAACTTTACCATCCCAGTATCTGCTCCCATTTTCAAGTGGCTTTCTCTGCTCTGTGTCTCTTTGTCCAAATTTCCCACTTCTTATAAAGACACTGGTCATGAGATTAATGGCCTCCTTCAATCTACTGTGATCTTAGCTTAACTTGATTATATTGGCAAAAGACCCTATTACCAAATAAGGTCAAATTCACAGGCACTGGGAGTTAATACCTGAACATGTCTTTTTGGGGGGGAGGAGAGAAAGGGGAGCACAATATATATAACCCACAACACTCAAAGTAAATCCAAAGTCCTTACAATGGTATACATGTTTCAATCTTTTGCTCCTCAATCTTTTGTCAGCAGCACTGGGGAGCTTGTACAACATGTGGAATCTTTGAATTTCCTAAATCAGAATTTTTCATTTTAATGAGACACCTAGGTGATTTACATGCAAATTAAAGTTTGAGAACCTCTCAAAATGACCCACCTACTTTTCTGCTCTCTCTCCATCAACTACTCACCAACAAATCTCTCCATAACTCTGCTTTAGTCATAGTGGACTCTTAATTGATTCTGAAATGTCTAGAAAACTCCTTTCCCAGATGTTTGCAGAGATTACTCCTTCACCTACTTCTAATATTTATGCAAATATCTAAAAAGATATGTAATATACATAGGTCTTTGATTTAGGAGGTAAAAAATTAAAATGTACAAAGACATTCATGACTCAGTTTGTTCTTATGCTTCACCCCTTCTTACGGTAAAGTATGTCTGAGCCCTGGCGCATACTGTGAGGATAGATAACTACTTTCATCAGGAATCCTAAATTTATCCCATTGTACCTTCCTGGGATGTCCCCTTGTTCTGTGACACAGAAATATCACAAAGTACATTTGCACCATACCTTCCCTTTCTCACATTTTGTACCTTTTCATTATATTTTCTTTCCATTTTCATCTTTTCAAGATGAAGATTCCTATCTCCTCAGTTAGCCCTAATCCAATGGGCCTTCTAAGAACTACTTTTCACAATCAGGTTCTTTTAACCAGACTCTCACTGATAGTTATCAAAGAACGGTAAAGAGGAAAGAATGTTGACACTTTCCCCTCTCCACTGAATTCAACTGGACCCATCCCCTGTCCCTGTGTTAGTGTTCTTTTTCCCCAGAAAAGAAAAAGAAAACAGTCTTTACCCTTAAGAAATGCACAATCTAGTTGGGGAGACATGATTTCAGAGAGGGGATTTCTTAGTTTCAGTTTTGATTATATTACCTTCAGATATTTGGAAAGGGCAAAAAGCTGAATACCTATGGACTACAAACAGTATGACTGGAAAACAAAGTAATAGATGTATATTGGTTAGCAATTGCCTACTGAAAAAATGTTTAAAATGACTATTACTAAATGTAGAAATGAGAGAAAGGAACTAAGCCAATAAATTTCAAGCCACTGAATCCACTACTCAGAAATAAACAGAAAACTCAGTGAGAATTAATTTCCTATTGGAAGTGTAGCAATTTGTTAGGTTCTTAGTTTATAAGGACTCAAGTAGAAGCTAAGCAGTTTAGAAGAACTGAGACCTTTACAACGGATAGATAACTACCTCCTGTTCAGATGAAGCTTTCAGATGCAGCCATCCATTTTTGTCTCGTCTTTTTGAACAAGCTCCTTCTTGAGACCTTAAAAAACAACAGCCACAGAAAGTAGGGAATGCAGTGATTAAGTATCAAGTTTATGCCTTACACAGTATTGCATACCTACACACATTACATGATTGAATCATAACAATACTATAAGATAGGAATCACCCTATTATCCCAGTTTTACAGATTAGGTTGCTGAGGCTCAGACAATATGTCCAAACTCATACAACTAAAAACAGGAAAAGCAACAATTTGATTTTAGGACTTTTCATTTTTTCTTTAATACTTTTTATCTTAAAATAACTTGACCCATGAGAAGGTTTTTTTTGCAAAAATAGCAAAGAGAATTACTGTGTTATCTTCACCAGTTCTCTCCAAAAATTGTATCATATTTATATAACCTCAATTTATTGTAAAAACTAAGAAATCGACATTGGTACAATGCCATTAACTCAGGTTCAGGCCTTATTCAGATGTCAAAGGTTTTTATATGCTACCTTATATGTGAGTGTGTGTGGTGTGCTGTTGTTCTATGAAGTATAGTTCATGTATCCAACACCACAATCAGGGTACAAGATTTCTTTGTCACCACAAAAAAAGTAACACATTCTTACATTACCCCTCAGTACTCAGTCATAGTCCTTGGCGGCCACTGATCTGTTGTGCATCTCTAGAATTCATTTCTATAATTCAAAGCCCATGAGATTGTTAAATGAGTGGTAATTTTTTCCTTAAAAGTTATTTTCATTTTTAATAAATAGTATACTGTGGTGCATATTCAAATGTGCATGTACATGAATAGATGAACTGAAGATTGAACATAGATTTGCATGCATAAAGTAAAAAGTACTCCACTTTATCACTATATCTATATTTATAATTCTGTTCCCAAAACTAGTAGTAGTGTTTTTAAATTTATTTTAAATGTATATCTGAATTATTATCATTACTAAATAAAACTATTAATAACTTTATACATATGCCTGAATTTCATGTTTTGTCTCTCAACTTTAAATAGTATTAAGGTAATTTTACATTTAAACACATCTGAAGGAAAACATAGAAGTATCTCATAAATAAAATATAATCCTGGGGACTGGTATCTTTCCATTTTGACTATCATGCACCATTAGTTTTTAATAATTATGTAGATTCCACATAAAAAAATGTTTTTGAAAAGGCAATAAACAATAGAGAACAGGTCCATTCTAAGAAAAAATTTAGTAAGTCTTCTTAGGTCATTGAAGGGCAATGCATAATACATCCCATGCAAATTACCTGGTGAGGATCACTAAATTAATAATTTATCATACCAGGTAAAATATCTTTTGACTTAATAGTACAAAAGTTTCCAATTATGTTATTCCTTTGGACTAAATTCTGGGGCTACTTGAAGGACTGCTGATAGCAATGGAAATGCTAAGAACAGAAAATGGCATTTGTTTCCAATTTTGACTGGATGGACTGTCCCTAAGACCACACTGCCACTCACCATTACAGAATGCTATATAGAGTAACAAAATAAATGCATTATTAAGATGGAGCTTTGCCATAACCCTGTGTGAGAGGCAAGACCAACTGTTATTATTCATAGTTTACAGATGAAGAAGTTAGATTAGGTAGCATTAAAAGATTTTCCCAAAGTCATTGATTTATTAAATGACAGACTAAGATCAGAACCAATCTTTATATGTGTATAAGACTAAAGAAGAGGGTTGAACCAAATGGATTATATATTTTTCTTACAACTTCAATAACTATAATTGATTATCCAGTGATTTCTATAATAACAATCTGATATGACAAGATGGACAATCTATTGATTAGATTTGGATAATATTTTTTTAATGTTTTTGTTTTGATACTTTAATTATGTTTCATCACAATAGAACACATATTGATCACTTATTTTTTCTTCATATGCTGACTAAATGAAGCACAGCAACTGCTATATTATTAACACCTGTTAACACCAAAGGAACACCTTTTCATAGTTATTTATTACTATATGAATACCTCTTGAGTATGCACTCTTTGCAAAGGGAATTCTAGGCCCTGGGATTGCAAGAGTAAGCACAAAAGAGTCCCTATTCTCATGGGGTTTATACTATGTAGAAGGAGACAATGTGTAAATACACAAATGATTTAAGAGAGTATCTGTATAAAACATCTTTTTAATGAGACACCTAGGTGATTTACATGCAAATTAAAGTTTGAGAACCTCTCAAAATGACCCACCTACTTTTCTGCTCTCTCTCCATCAACTACTCACCAACAAATCTCTCCATAACTCTGCTTTAGTCATAGTGGACTCTTAATTGATTCTGAAATGTCTAGAAAACTCCTTTCCCAGATGTTTGCAGAGATTACTCCTTCACCTACTTCTAATATTTATGCAAATATCTAAAAAGATATGTAATATACATAGGTCTTTGATTTAGGAGGTAAAAAATTAAAATGTACAAAGACATTCATGACTCAGTTTGTTCTTATGCTTCACCCCTTCTTACGGTAAAGTATGTCTGAGCCCTGGCACATACTGTGAGGATAGATAACTACTTTCATCAGGAATCCTAAATTTATCCCATTGTACCTTCCTGGGATGTCCCCTTGTTCTGTGACACAGAAATATCACAAAGTACATTTGCACCATACCTTCCCTTTCTCACATTTTGTATCTTTTCATTATATTTTCTTTCCATTTTCATCTTTTCAAGATGAAGATTCGTATCTCCTCAGTTAGCCCTAATCCAATGGGCCTTCTAAGAACTACTTTTCACAATCAGGTTCTTTTAACCAGACTCTCACTGATAGTTATCAAAGAACGGTAAAGAGGAAAGAATGTTGACACTTTCCCCTCTCCACTGAATTCAACTGGACCCATCCCCTGTCCCTGTGTTAGTGTTCTTTTTCCCCAGAAAAGAAAAAGAAAACAGTCTTTACCCTTAAGAAATGCACAATCTAGTTGGGGAGACATGATTTCAGAGAGGGGATTTCTTAGTTTCAGTTTTGATTATATTACCTTCAGATATTTGGAAAGGGCAAAAAGCTGAATACCTATGGACTACAAACAGTATGACTGGAAAACAAAGTAATAGATCTATATTGGTTAGCAATTGCCTACTGAAAAAATGTTTAAAATGACTATTACTAAATGTAGAAATGAGAGAAAGGAACTAAGCCAATAAATTTCAAGCCACTGAATCCACTACTCAGAAATAAACAGAAAACTCAGTGAGAATTAATTTCCTATTGGAAGTGTAGCAATTTGTTAGGTTCTTAGTTTATAAGGACTCAAGTAGAAGCTAAGAAGTTTAGAAGAACTGAGACCTTTACAAGGGATAGATAACTACCTCCTGTTCAGATGAAGCTTTCAGATGCAGCCATCCATTTTTGTCTCGTCTTTTTGAACAAGCTCCTTCTTGAGACCTTAAAAAACAACAGCCACAGAAAGTAGGGAATGCAGTGATTAAGTATCAAGTTTATGCCTTACACAGTATTGCATACCTACACACATTACATGATTGAATCATAACAATACTATAAGATAGGAATCACCCTATTATCCCAGTTTTACAGATTAGGTTGCTGAGGCTCAGACAATATGTCCAAACTCATACAACTGAAAACAGGAAAAGCAACAATTTGATTTCAGGACTTTTCATTTTTTCTTTAATACTTCTTATCTTAAAATAACTTGACCCATGAGAAGGTTTTTTTTGCAAAAATAGCGAAGAGAATTACTGTGTTATCTTCACCAGTTCTCTCCAAAAATTGTATCATATTTATATAACCTCAATTTATTGTAAAAACTAAGAAATCGACATTGGTACAATGCCATTAACTCAGGTTCAGGCCTTATTCAGATGTCAAAGGTTTTTATATGCTACCTTATATGTGAGTGTGTGTGGTGTGCTGTTGTTCTATGAAGTATAGTTCATGTATCCAACACCACAATCAGGGTACAAGATTTCTTTGTCACCACAAAAAAAGTAACACATTCTTACATTACCCCTCAGTACTCAGTCGTAGTCCTTGGCGGCCACTGATCTGTTGTGCATCTCTAGAATTCATTTCTATAATTCAAAGCCCATGAGATTGTTAAATGAGTGGTAATTTTTTCCTTAAAAGTTATTTTCATTTTTAATAAATAGTATACTGTGGTGCATATTCAAATGTGCATGTACATGAATAGATGAACTGAAGATTGAACATAGATTTGCATGCATAAAGTAAAAAGTACTCCACTTTATCACTATATCTATATTTATAATTCTGTTCCCAAAACTAGTAGTAGTGTTTTTAAATTTATTTTAAATGTATATCTGAATTATTATCATTACTAAATAAAACTATTAATAACTTTATACATATGCCTGAATTTCATGTTTTGTCTCTCAACTTTAAATAGTATTAAGGTAATTTTACATTTAAACACATCTGAAGGAAAACATAGAAGTATCTCATAAATAAAATATAATCCTGGGGACTGGTATCTTTCCATTTTGACTATCATGCACCATTAGTTTTTAATAATTATGTAGATTCCACATAAAAAAATGTTTTTGAAAAGGCAATAAACAATAGAGAACAGGTCCATTCTAAGAAAAAATTTAGTAAGTCTTCTTAGGTCATTGAAGGGCAATGCATAATACATCCCATGCAAATTACCTGGTGAGGATCACTAAATTAATAATTTATCATACCAGGTAAAATATCTTTTGACTTAATAGTACAAAAGTTTCCAATTATGTTATTCCTTTGGACTAAATTCTGGGGCTACTTGAAGGACTGCTGATAGCAATGGAAATGCTAAGAACAGAAAATGGCATTTGTTTCCAATTTTGACTGGATGGACTGTCCCTAAGACCACACTGCCACTCACCATTACAGAATGCTATATAGAGTAACAAAATAAATGCATTATTAAAATGGAGCTTTGCCATAACCCTGTGTGAGAGGCAAGACCAACTGTTATTATTCATAGTTTACAGATGAAGAAGTTAGATTAGGTAGCATTAAAAGATTTTCC